CACATGTGATGTTGGGCATTGCTTTACACCCCTGCAGCAAACATCAGTACAATTAATCTGATGATCTGTTCATAGAACCCACACTGTTATCAGAATTGTATTTGTCTGTCTAAAGCCGTGGCTCTACTAGCACAGCACCTCACTATGGGGAATCTCAAGACAAAAGTCTCCAGGTAACATTTTCCTCTCAGGTGGAATTTTGTAATGGTTTTTCTGCTTGGTAATTGCTGACAGTTTCTTCAGAGGATGCCCTTCCCTTAGAAGCTTCCTGCAAATTTGTAATTTATGTGCTTCAGAGGTTGATGCTGTCAGCAAAACCCAACTGTATAGTGCTTCTTTACACTTTGCCTACTTCCAACTCTCTCATAAGTTCATAGTATACTGAGTAAAGCATGACATTAAAAGCATGTGTCTGTATTTTTTCTATGTCAAACCCAGTTACTAGCAGGCTACCCTAGAGAAAATTCCCAAATATGGATCAGAAGTCCAGCAGAGGCCCAGAACAATCCCCAGCTGGCAGAATAGGTACCCTGTTTTGGAATACCTGAACATTATGTAAATGCATGCTCTACCACGCATGGCACGGTGATGCCTGTGTAATACAGATGTGGCTCCAGTAGGAATGCAGCACACACAGAAATAGCTGAGTAGGAAAGGAGCATTTGTTCATACCTATCCACTACTGAATCAAGATTAATCTATTCCCGCTTTTGAGGTGTTCAATATCAGCATGCACCTGAGTGTGTGGAACCGAGACCCCAGAAGAGCATGCATGTAAGTGTAGTCTCTGTCCTCTCTGCAGTCGCAAAAGCTGCCAAGGACAGCAGTAGGCTTGGTGGCAAAGAGTGGGAGGGAGAGGTCCCTAATTTAAGGGTCAGGGATGACTGAGTGGTCAAGCAAAGCATTCTGATACTTTTTGGATTTGCTGACTATGGCCACATCTAGATTTGTCTGTTGTTTCCCTTCTACCCATTCTTGTTTGGCAGAAAGACTTTCTCCCTTGCTCTCTTTTTATTTTGCTTCCAGTACAGCCTTTCATAATGTAATTACAAAGCTCCTTTGGAATCTGAAGGTAATCATATCAAGGAGGTTGCTGTTATCTATAACTTGAATGGGTGTTCTGTAAACCTCTAGAGCAGAAAGAAAATAAGTTTCTTCCACACATGATTTGTTAAGTCACACCCATGAGTATTCAAGAAGCGGGCGTGGGGCCCAGGTGCTGTTGAAGGGATCTGGGCTTGGGCAAAGGCAGATTTTAACTAGTGAGCATTCCATGCCCTGGCATGTCCCCTTCCCACTGTGCTCTGCAGACACACTTCCTTGTGCTGTAGATGAGGTAGGTTCAAAGTCTTCTCAAAATGTACCTCCCTGCAACCCTCACGAAACAGCAAGCAGCTGGCCTGGGGAATGATGCCTGAGTGCAGCATCCTCTCAGAGGTGAGCACAGGGTACAACACTAAATGCCACCAAAGAATTAAACACAGAAGTGCAGGAGGATTCTCCTCATGCTGCCTATTGCATTCCTAAACATGCAAGCTCCTAAACTGCTGACACACAACACCACTGTGATAAAGATACTTTGAGTTCACATGAATAGTTTGAACAAGTCATGAATCACTCAAGCCTTGCTGCAAACCTTCAGTGACTGCTCTGGTTCTGTGCAGGAAGCTTTACTGACTGCCCAAAGCAAGGTCAACCAAGCCTGCAGTAACCCTCACACATATTTCCCTGAGCTCTTTGACTCTCACCTGGACCACTGGCATGGGAAAGTCTGAAAACAATACCCCTAATTCTGATTTACACCCACTGTAGTGCTGTGAGGAGAGTTTAAATGGAGACCTGGGTTTTAGTACATTGTTATTTGGATTGTTTAGTTTTATATAACATGGTCAAAGGGCTGCTTTATCAAGGCGTGAGATAGGCAAGATCAAGGTTTCAAAGGTAACTGAAACAGACCTTTAGTATATTTTACAAGTGTAATTGTAAAATATTTAACTTAAACAGCTCATGTATTGTAATTACATCATATTTTGATAGAAACTTGTATTAATGTATGTTTCCTCTATTTGGTATCTGCTGTGTTCTGGGGGTCTAGGGGTGTGGGGGGTCTTTCTAAGACTCTCTCTTTATGTGCATTATTACAACTAAAATTACTAATAACCTAAACTAAGGTTTAAAGAATATTTTTATTTTCTACGACTAAGAATAGGGTGGGAAAACCTTTAATCAAGCCAACAAAAGCCTGTGAAATCAGCTTCATCAGATGGTGGCTCAGGGCTGATGATGAGGGAGGAGGCAATTTCCTAAGAGCAGATGGTCCAGCTTCAGAGAAAAGCAGGTACAAGTCAGATGGTACAAGCCTACAACACAAGGTTTAAAACCACACAGTGATCAATACTGGCATAACCTGCCTTTCTTTCTTTCCAGTGCAAGAAGTTTAATCTTCTTCCACTGGAGAGCTGCTTAGCCCCTGAATGTTCAGTATCTTTCAAGATTTCACTGTGTTCATTATATCCTTCACATTACTTTCATCCATTTAAATTCCTGGCATCAATGACATGCTCTAACAATGAGAGCCACTGTCTTAGTGTGAAAATGTTGCTTTTATTTGCTTGTATTTTGCTGCTTTTATTTAATTGTGTTCCTCCACTTCTATCATAAGATAGGGGAGATGAAAGCCCTTCTCTGTCTCTCATACTGAAATCACATGCATAAAAATAATTTATCTAATAATTTTTGTAACGATTTGATTTGTAATTCACTTCTCACATGCATTTCCCAGCTCTGCTTTTTTCCTTCTGTATTCTTTGTATTTTACTCTGTTAGCTGTATTTTCTGATTCTCTCTTATTACATCTGCATTATGTAAGAGTGCAAGAAACTGCCAAACATTCTGTCTTCCTCAAAACTGAAATATGTGTGCATAACTCCTTGATTTAATTTCCTGCAGAAAAGGAAACTTGGAGATAATGGAGGGCACTTTCTCTTCTACCATCAGGACAGCTTCTACCAGTTGCTGGACTTCTGTCCAGAGAAGTTTGAGAGATATGAAAAATTGTACCCAGCTTGATTCAAGAGGAAAAATGTTTACAGGAATTAAAAACCTAATGACTTTTCTGAGTTTTGCTCCAGAACAGAGGCAATGAAGTTATTAACAATCTAAACCTTCATTTCAGGTTTATTTCTGCATCTTTACTCAGTTCTGTAGGTTGCACATGTACAACAGTTGTTACATTTCCATAAAAACTACAAATGAAAAAATATCAGGAGAAATTGGCAGTATAGTACAAGATACATATAAAGTGAAGGGAAAGATAAGTGCATTGAGTCAGATGCTTCAAACCTTCTTTTCCTTTTTTCTCTTGTCCTCAAAGGGAAGTTCTCAATGCAAGTTTGATAATGGAGCAGGAATCTGGTTCACCTTGCCCAGTTTAGTTAGCAGCATTACAGACTGCTATGAGTGCCCAGTTCACAAAGGAACAGCTCCCTTACACAGAGAGCTCTTTTCATCAGCCTGCATGGTGAAAGGTTAAACTGAATGGATGTACACAGAGACCTGCACGGTCCTTACCACAGCACCAGTACTGAAAAATGGCTTGGGTGTGCCTAAGAACCATGCTGAAACTGCCTGTGGTCTTTATACACAAGGTAATGAAGTTGTAATCATAAAATACAGGACGTACACTCATGTTAGAAAAGTGTTGATGGGGATATGTTTCATTGCTGAAAGTGGAGATTCCTAATCTATATTGGAACAAGCAGAAAAGACACAAACATCTTTGGGGCCCAAACCTATACAGCTCAGTTGTCAGTTTTGAAGAGGCATCACTCTTTCTTCAAGGAGAGATGAGACACTACCCAACTAGTGAAGTCTTACATGGTAAAAATGGCCCCAGATCCTGCAGATACATGTTCTCCAGCCTCAGCCCTACACTGCCTTCATTTTAGCACCTGTTACTATTAGCAAAAAAGCACCATGGCACTAGAAAAATCATGTGCCTGTCTAATTAAGACACAAACACTCCTGTCATAGCTCTGTTTTGCTCTGTGGGCATACTCTGGGAGAATGCAGAACAAGATGCTCTGAAAAGTATCAAAGTTATACTGCTTATTTCAAACATGTTTCTGTGCAATCCATTCTGGAACTTCTCAGAACTAACTGTTCAATCAGACTTTCAAAGGAATCCAGAAGAGTTGTCTCCCAGATCACCCCTTGACTAATGTTCTGCAGCAAAATTGTCTGCTGAATAATAGCAAGAGTTAAATAAGATAACTACATCCTAGAGAAAGTAAGTGGAATGATATTCTCTGCTTGAACTAATGTGTATCCAAGTAAGCTGGCAGGGCTGGAGTCCTATGTACTAAGCTCTGGCATCTGAGGCTCAAGGATGAGGTGAAGCTCCCTCTCTCTTGCCAGAAAGGCTAACATTCCATTCCATTCCATCTTCTCTTGGATGATGTTTCCAAATGTGAGATTAAATGGTAGAGCTGCAGTGTTGAAATTGGTCTGAAATGAAAAGTAATGCTTGTAGGGTAAGCAACACAAATCTGCAGCAAAACTAGAAAATTGTCCCCTGTTCTGCATTAGGATTAAGTGATGCCTACAGCTAGTTAGCTCTTGGGTCAATGTCAGAGTCAAACATACAATGATGCTATTTGAAAATCTCCACTAATACACCAAGGTCACATAAGCATTTTCAGATGTCAGTAGCACACTGGGAGCTGGCATATGGCTTATTATCCACTGCATTCTTCAGCTGCTCCTCCTCTGAGTTCCTGCTTCTCACATCAGAGGGAATCTAGGCAGACTGCATTTAACTAGATTAAATGCCTCTGGTTTATTAATTCCTATGGATGGAATACTGTTTCAGATCACTGAGTTTCAACTTTCCTTCTTACTATTGCTTTATCTACTATGAAATGTGCTAATTTCTCTTTTACCCCCTTGATAAAAATGTGCAATAGTGAAGTGTCAAGGAGCTGGTTTCTCTCTTCACCTACCTAATATGTAGTTGCAGAGGGGTCAGGACCAGGCTCTTCTCAGAGGACCATAGTGAAAGCAGAACAGGCAACAGGCACAGGCTGCAGCACGAGAAATTCCAACAGACATCTGCACTGAAACAGAGCTCGGAAGGAGCTGCTGGAAACGTGTGTATACATCCTTCTCTCTGCCCTGCACTCCAGGGCGGCTTGCAGACATGCTTCCACTTAGGCACTCAGAGGTTAACCATGCCTTACACATAAATTGCCTTCTGATAATATTATTTGTTGCCACGGACTCCAAAAGTGTCACATGTTAAAACCGAGCATCTGGTGTTTAGAGGTTGCTGCAGCAGGGTCTGTCCCCCAGGCGGGTGTACTTTTGGGGCTCTGTGGCTGAGGACGGCTCCGGGCCGCACCGCCTCGCTCCAGCCAGACCCCACCGAGGGCCCCTGCGGCAAGCGCAGGGCCCCACCTGGGGGCAGGAAAAGTAATGGCAGGCTAATTCCACGCCCAGAGCTCCCGAGCTGTTTAAAGGGAACCCGGGGATACGCCGAGGAGTTGCCTAAGACTCAAATTTTTCCCTAGCAGCAAATAAAAAAGCCTTTCCTAGGAGCAAGGCTGGGTTCCGAGTGCAGCCTCCTGAGAACTCCTCTGCACCAACAGTGTCCAGGCGTCCTGGACCCACGTCCTGCACGCTCTGGAACGCGAACTCTCCTCTCTTGGACCTCAAAGGTGTGGCCAGCACCAGCAGGGCCCGGTGATCCCCGCGACCCGCTTGGGAACCCGCAGAGGGACCAGCCTTTTAAACCAGGCACGGCTGTGCGGGGCATCGGCTCCAGCGGCGGCTCCGTGAGGGGCGGCCGGGGCTGCCCCTGCCGGCCACAGCCGGTTCTCGCAGAACACAGCCAGGCACAGCCGGTTCCAGCCGGCCACAGGCGGTTCCAGCCGGTTCTAGCCGGCCACAGGCGGTTCCCGCCGGACACAGCCGCCCCCCACTCAGGGCCCGGCCGAGCCGGGGCGGGAGTGAGGAATGAGTTTAACAAGCGCCAAACACTGAACGCCAGAGTGCCAGGGGAAAACAGTGGAGAAAGTGCCTTGCGAACACACGAAGAGAAGGAGGGGAGAAGGCAGAAGAGTCGGGAACAAAGTAGGGAGATGGAGTCTGGGAAGAAAAGGAGTGGGGAGGAAGGTGTTCAAGTTTTTTTCTTTCTCACCAACTATATTAATTGGTAATAAAGAAATTTTCCCCAAGTCAAATCTATTTTGCTTATGGTGGCAATTGGTAAGTGATTCTAAACATAGGAATATCTGCCAAGTGCCTGCTAGAAGCAGTGTTAAGAATTCTCCGGTCAGTTGACCTGGCATCTTGCCTGGGTTTTTTTCCATGTTGCTATAGTCAGGTAAGAAGAAGTCCCATAAGAAGCATGCAGGAGACTTGAAAAATTCCTATGAATAGGTGATGCTTCTGTTGCACGTTCAGATGTGCTTAAACAAATAGCAGAATTCCACTAGAATTAACTGCAATCTACCAAAACATCAGCAAGCACAAGTAAAGATCCCATACAGTCATCAGAAACTATAACTTGTACTAAAGCAAAGATCCTGTACTCAGTAGTAGATCAGTGAGAATTATCCCCGTGTTTTCAATGGAAATGAACTTGTCATTCCATTGGCAGAGTGTTTTAAACCAAAAATGGTTGTATAGGATCACAACCCTTACCTCCACCAAACATAATTTATTTGGCTATCAGAATGATGTTCAGACTGATCTGTACATAAATAGGTCTTACCAGAGCAAGAGTTGAAGAAAACTTCTAGTCCTTCTTGGAGAGCACATCAAAGCTGCCTAACACCTAAGTGATTTGTGACAGGTAAGAGTGAAACAAATTTTGAGGTTACTGTGTGTTAAGTAATATTTAGCCAGGAATTATTGGGCTGGCAACATTGGGAGACATAGGAGAAACAGCAACAAACATCTGTACATTTTACTTGTTTACCACTGTCTTGAAGGTTGGTAGAAGAACTGAAGAGCTTTTATTGTGTTGTAAAAGCATTACTGAAGTCAGCTAACACCCTAAATAATTACTGCTAGAGTGCTTGCCGGGGCTCAAGGTTGCTCAGTGAAAAAAGATATTCTGTAAAAGGCTTAGATTTAAGCTGATTTCATCCCTAGTTTACCCAGAATATGGAAGATCACATCAATAGTTTGTAAACCTGCTGCTCTTTACAGGTTAGGAAGTAAACTGACACACGTGCGTGGGAATATAAAAATAAGAAGGTTATCAGACAGAGTTAACCCACAGCACTGGGTAGCCTTGCATAAGCAAACATGGCTGTAGATTTTGTATGAAGTCCTCACAATGTATAAACACCTTTAGGTATTTTTCATTTCAGAACAAACCAAGAAGATAAGTAAAAAAATAATGAAACAAAATTGGAAGTTCTCATCAACAATTTTCTGAAATATCAGGAAATGAACCATCACCTGGGCCAGACCTGGAGTCTTACAGGGTATGTCTACATTAGTGGTCTGGAACAGGAGAATGTTTTAAAATTAATTTCTTAACTGTGCTTTCGCTCCCATCATAGTGTGATCTTGGAGTGTACAAACTGGATTCTTTCTGGATGAAATTAAACTGAAAAAGGTGCTTCAAGAGTGCACCAAATGCTGTTTAAGTGTCACTCAATCCACACAACCACCCCTGAGTTATGCTGAAGTTAGCCCTGTTCCAAACAGATGCAGTCTTGATGACAAGGCTTCAGTGCCAGCTCTTCTGCTCACAGTCATTGCTGCTGTACCACTCTATTTACTAACAGGAATAACCATCAGCTGTTAGGCTTATCACCAACAAGTACTGGCAGAGGCACCTCCTACATCTGCTGCATCTTTGATTGTGGAGCTCTTGAACACCATAACCCAACAACTTTCCTCATTTTGTGGAGAAAAAGTTCACTTAGCAAAAGAGTTGAGATCAACAACTACTTTGGAAACACTTCAGAAAAAGTGTTTTCCAAACTTTTCCAATGAACTAATCTGAGATTAAACCAAGGACTGAACTGTAATTGCAATTGACACTACATTAGCTGATAAATTACTGTAGGTCAATACAAACTTTGTATACCTGGCAATGAGGGGAAAGTGTTTGTAGCACTGAAAACTTCAATCTTGCTGAAGCTGAGGAGTCTGACGAGCTCTGAAGTGGGAATTGTTCATCAGATATCAGATAAGTGTCCAGCAGCATATTATTTCTCAACCCACAGCTAACAAGGGAATAAACCAGGGCCATCAGAGACCGAGCAAAAGTCTTTTCTTGTAAGCTATGTCATTAATGTGGAACTATAAATAGAAAATATGAAACACCAAGGTAACATCCTGCAGAGCAGCTTTTCATAAACTAACCATTTTTTGAAGTGATTAAAACAATTTTAAATGCCTTTGTCTAGCTGTCTGTGGAAAACACGGAATTTTAAAGAGGAAAAGAAACATTTTGAGTTTGGTTGGTACTGGATAGGACCTATATCAGCTTTGTGTGATGGTTTACTACCTCCCCTTCACATCTCCATTCTCTTGTTTATAAACACAAACAAAATATACCTTTCCATGAGGCATGTGAGTTAACAACGACCCTCCTCAAATAAAAATCATTTATCCGCCAAGAAAAGTAAAAATTATGTTTGCAAGCCCCAGCTTTCATTCACAAAACTACAGGACAATGTCACTATATAAAAAGTTTATTTGATTAGTACAGGTACTGTAGATACAGCAGTTAATCAAAAACATCATTTGGCAGTCAGTTTATTTCCTAATTCAGTAATAAAAGTGCAGCTTAGTTATAAAGGCACAGTGTTATAAAGGCACAGTGTTGACATGTAGCCAAGTCACTGATGTCCAGTAGAAGTGGCAGGAGAAAGAACTCACTCCCACTTTCTTTAAAAACCACTTGTTCCATTTGCCAACAGTGATATTAAAGAACAACAAAGGCCTACGTTGGAAGCAATCATCATATAAAAATCTGATCTGGATCTAGAAAAAAGTCCTCAGAAATAGCATGACACACTGAAGCTATCAGTCAGCAACTCACATTTCTCTTTTCTGCTGTTCCACAAAGTCTCTAGGAAGACAGTGTGCTTCCTGCCATTTCACTTGCTTAAAATTCCCAGAAAAAAATCTCGAGATGAATGAAGGAGAAAATAAGCTAGTACTGAAGTGTTATAAAAGACACCTGCCTGCTGTATTTTGTGTGAGGGCATGACCTCTTTCCCACTGAAACACTTCTGGAACACCCCTTTGCCTTCTTTCACAGTGTAATTAGATATGTGCAATCAGGCAGCTCTCTTACCGCCTGCAGCCAGGCAACCTAATTGGCTTTTACATCATAATACATGCGAAGAACTCTCCTGACAGTCTCCACATATTTATCATCAGGAACAGGTTTCCTCTGGCTTCCTGGCTCCAGAAATTTCTTGATTGCAGGGATGCTGCTTATCCTTGCTTTAAATGCCTAAAAGGCAAACAGTAAGTACAAGGTATTTAAAGAACAGAAAGTAAGACAAAAAAACCCCTATTTTACTGATTTGTGTAACATCCTTTAACAAGCTGTATGTGGAGACAAGACAGGAAATATGGTTTCAAGTGTGGATGAATTTTACTCCCACTCTCTTCAACCCCTTCATTTTCCACAGTAACAAATGAGCCATCTGTCTTGCATTGATATGGGATGAAGTGTTATCTGTGGTTTCTAATATATACATTACTCAGATGGTTCTTGTAATCCAGAAAATATCTTCCACTTAGTATCACAGAACTGGTGAGAGTCAAAAAAAAGGAAGGGTGCATTTCTTCAGATGTGTACAGGGGTTACTCCAAAAAATAACAGTTTCTCTAGATGAAACATCTTACAAGGCTCTTCCTAAAGCAGGAAAAGCAAGACTACAATGAAAAAGTAACAAATGTTTGTGGAATTATTTACACAGAACAGACTTTGAAATATAATTTATCACATTTATAGCCATATGAGCATCTTGTTAGTGCAAGGTACCTGTAACTGAGGAAAGCCTGAGAGCACATCTGACTTCTTCTCTTCTACCATTAAAATGGCTTCAAGAAGATGAACATCTGCCCAGCTAAAACTGTTGCCAACAAGGAAGTCCTGCCCATGGTCTTTCAAAACCTAGAAATGTCATAGATGAAAACACTCAGATGTGAATAGCCAGCTGAGGTTCATGTTTTCAAAATTCATAGGCACACCTTCTTTGACAACACTACTGTCTCCTTTTCATCCTTCTCTCCCATGCAGCTAACAGGGGAAACAGGGAATACACCAGCAGTCACTGATCTTTTTACAGCAGAAATCCAGAATACCAAATCCCAGAGTTTTTCTTACCAATCCTTTCTTCCTACAACTCTAGGTAACCTTGTGTACTAGAC